GAGGTCACCACTGAAAACAAGCTGCTGAGGATCTTCAAAGATGGGACGGTTCTGTATAGCATCAGGTGCAGTAACCGCAGAACTTGATCCAAGAAATCTTTAGGAAACACTAGTCCTGACTAAGACGAACAAAGATGTTCAGCCTTAGTTTTACCCTAGCAACATAAACTGGCCACAGGAGGCAGCGTAAGTTAAAAGCTAACATATTGATTTTTTCCAAGAATTTAGAGCTAAAGAATTTTTTTTTCTGTAAATAATAACAGCCATAAATGTAAAGATGACAGATAAGAACTCCTTTAATCTTTTGTTGAATTTTTATATTTTAATGTAATTTCGATCTGCTGTTCTTAAACTAAAGTTTTGCATAGTAGGAATAGCTCGAGCAGATACTCAGGATCAGTATGATATTGGTTACATCGAAAAAAAAAAAAAAACTCTTACTGGTCCGTGATCTCATATAAAAAAAAAAAAAACTCTTACTGGTCCGATCTGATATCTAGGCCCAAATGCTCAACTTAACTTTGCGCGACATGCCATCAACATGGGCACTATCACCGTAGCAATGGTAGCCTGCAGTATGCTAAAGGAGAAAAGAAGATATCGGATTGGTATCAGTATCGTATCCGTAAATTGCAGTTCCGTAAATCAGTAGTGACCAACCAGTCAAGAGGCTAAGAGCCTGTACATGGGCACACATGAACTGCTCCATACCATTAAAAAAATAAAATAAAATAAATGTTTCCATCTTTGTGAATTGGGTTTTCCCTGTCAACGACTATCGGCATTTTTGAGTAAAAAAGCACAAACGGTACTGTGTTTTGGAGGGGTTTTTTTAGAGGCAGCACAAAAATAAAAAAAGATCACAATCATCACTGAATTCACTGTCTTTTCCTTGATCCTCCTTTTCCTTCTGGTTTCTCCTTCTCCTCCCCTTCTCTCCACCTGGGTGTCCTTTTGTCCTTGTGTCTCAGGCTGACTCTAACCCTCTCCTGTCCTATGGACTTGAAGAACTTTCCCATGGATATTCAGACCTGTACCATGCAATTAGAAAGCTGTGAGTCTTTTCTTCTTCGCTTTGTCTGTTTTCTCTTTTTCTTTTCTCCTAGTCCTCATTCCTCCCCTGTTTCCCCTTTTTGTCTTTAAGTTTAAACAGCAACTGTTTGTAAATCAAGAGCAAATCTGCTTTTAGGGTTCATAAAAACTTAGATAACTTAGACCTACAGTACATTATTAAGGCTGGGTTACACTGTACACTATGTCGCTTAATCTCTTTGCTCGTCTGCATTTTTCACTGTCAGCTAAAACCACATTAGGGTTCCCTGGTTAAGGAACCGACACCAAGTTTTCAGGCAGTCCAGAGTTCACCTCTTTTGACCAAAAGTGAAAACTCCTGCTCAAACAAAACCTTAAAAAAAGCAAACAAGAGGTTAGGCTTAAAAAAGGGTTAAAAATGCCGGGAAACGTAGACCGAAGACTTTAAAGACTACTTTAGGTTAACCAAAAGATGTATAGGTCAGTGGTTCTCACAGTCTTTCTTGAAGGAACCACCTTTTTTTTTTTGTAGTCAGGACTATTGCGGAATACTGCAGAGACCTTAACATACCGACCGCTTTTGCTTTACTTTATTTTAAGCCCCTTAATTTCTACAAACCAAGCAAAATAAATCAATGGATTAGAAGTCAGCGCACATTCCCGAATGTGGTACAAATGAAGCAACATATTAATGTTAATTTGTCTTTGGCCGATTTTCAATCTTTACAGTGTTAGGGATTCCCGATATAGCTAAAGGTTCCTCAAAAGATTAACCTAATGAGGCATAAATTGCTATAAAAGAGCTGAATATAAGCTAAAAGGCTAAAAATAACAGTTGGTAAATGTCAGCTAAAAAGTTGAATATGAAAATAATAAATATTTTTAACGTCAGCTAAAAAGTTGAATATGAAAATAACAATAAATATTTTTAACAAGAACCAAAGTGTCCCTTAAAAAAAAAGGGTGATTTTGTGTTTACATTTCCAATAATTGAATTAAATGTCATTGAAAAAAAAAACAACAATGAAAAGGACAGAGCTGGATCGTCATTTCCTGCTGCCTTCAGCACACGTAGCAGTCTGACCTCTGAGGAAACAAATTCCCCGGTCATTAATTATGAAGGTTTCATTTAGTGTCTCTTATTAAACCTCTGTGTCTGGAGGTGACAGACTGGAGTTTGTTACCGCAGAGAACAATGACGCTAAACAATTCACACTAGCGCGTCAATGCTGCTCGATACAGTAGCATTGAGCCCATTCGCTTTAACTCGTATTTTTAGACTTAGGTAAAAGATGTATTAGCGGGTTTCGCCCTACAAAATAAGATTTTGAATTCATCCACTGTGTCAGTTTTGGAGAGTCATAGAAAACACAAAAGGTGAAGACTGACTTTGACATTTCAAAATAAAATGCTCCGTGCAACCATGTTGTTAACGTGCCACTAATGAGCTGCAAACAAGTGTTTTGATAACAAGTCTCTTTCAATGTCGTTGTGTGCATTTCAATGTCAACCAGTACAATCAGTACACCCTTACATTTAAATGGTGTCAAAAAATGTTTTGACTCCATATTTATATTTATATAGAGAAGCGTTTTTCATCAAATGATTCAGGACCCGGAACTGGGCTGCGGTCCGATGTTTGGAAACCCTTGGTTTGAGGACTTGGATTTATTAAGAACAATTTAGTTTAACATATTTTTAGGTTAAATCTTAATTAAGTTTCAACCAATCATATTTTTGTGTTAATGTTGACTAAATTTTCTTTTCAGATACCCCTAGCTGTCTTAGTTAAATTGTTGGCGAATAGCAGAAGACAGTTTTGTTTACATTCGCCGCTTGTAGGCCATACATTGGATGGTGTCACATTTGCGTTTTATATTGTGTATGTTTTTTTTTTATGGAACATTTTCCCCTTCATTATGGCTCCCAGGCTTAAGTCAGACTCCTTTTTATGTCCTATATTATGTTACCACTGTGTTAGCGTAGGTGAGTAACATAGGTACTGGTGGACAGCATGTGAGTTCAGACTTACAGAGAAAATTGAGTTAACTTGTGCCATAGGAACTGAACTCCGACGTCGAAGTCAAAGACCCCCCTGTATAACGGTAACAGATCTAGGAAATATCACAGACAGACAGTACGAGACAATGCTTGCATTTCCATAGGAACTACCAGAAGTAGCACACACAAGAACTGACATTAGTGCCAGGAACCAGCGATACAGTATGTTGACTGTAGAAGTGATGGCTTAGGGTTTTTTTTATTGTAGCATTTTTAATGTTAGGTTTAAGAATTTCCAACCATCCTGACAGCAGGATGCTGCCTTAGTGTCTGACCTTTTCTGTGACATGACATGACAGCAGAAGGTCAATAGGTTGGACACAGAAGAAGAGAGAAGATCAGCACCATCTTTTTTTCCCCCCCTCATTAGTGAAGGTTTCTAATATTTCTAAAGAACAGGTTTTGTTCTTTAGAAATCCAAAGGAAATCCCAGTGAAAATTCCAGAGGTGAAGGTTAGGGTTTCAGATCTAACGGTGATATGGAAATGAATATTTATCACCATGACGGATGCGAGTGGCTCTGACTGTTTTATCACCATGACGGATGCGAGTGGCTTTGACTGTATCTTAAGTTGTTTTGTTTTTTTTTGTCTCCAGTCAACTTAACACTTTATTTCTTAGTTTTCTTTCTTCGTTTAAACCTCATGCAAGCTCTTCTTCTGTTCTGCTTTTTCAGTTGGTTACACCATGCACGACATCATCTTCGAGTGGCTGCCCCAGAGTCCAGTTCAGGTGGCCGACGACCTTCAGCTGCCACAGTTTTTACTTAAAGATGAAATGGATTTGGGATACTGCACCAAGTATTACAACACAGGTATTTCATGCGATGTAAACCATAGTACATTATCTAGGTGCAATTACATCATCACAAGTGCGTTTTACATTCTGAACTATTAAAATTCTGACAGATACGAAGTGACAACCCCAAAAGAAAAACAGCAAATTTAATCCCTGAAGCTTTCCAGACCCAAGTTTGCTTCCTAAACCACTAAGCCACTACTGCCCCAAAAATTCGACAGTTAGGAGCAGAGGATGGTTTCAACCACTCTGCTACTATATGCTATACAGTATACTATATACAATATAGCAGAGGTGGGACCAAGTCAGTGCTTTGCAAGTCACAAGCAAGTCTCAAGTCTTTGCACTCAAGTACGGATCAAGTCTCAAGTCAAAATAGGCAAAGTCCGAGTCGAATCCAAGTCAAGACTGAAAAGTGTCAAGTCAAGTCCCAAGTCCTGCCGTTTCTGTTTCAAGTCCTTTCGAGTCCTTCCACTCACTGCCACTCGTTTTTTGTTGACCATCTCGTCGTTTTTAAAACCGAACAACACGATCTTTGGTATCATTTTCTCCAACCCGCGCGTTGTTCGACAGCTCTTTCTCATCGGTTGTCCCGCAATTTGATTGGCTCGAGATTATTGCGTCAAAACAATGTGGGTCTAATTTGATCGCATGTTGTTCCGACGCACACACGTACACAATGAGAGATACACAGCGCCCCTCAATAAATTTATTAATAATCTTTTGGTTTTGGAGAAAGTATCAAGTCTTGTCGAGTCAAAGGGCGCGAGTCACAAGTGAAGTCATGAGTCATTGATGTTAGAGTCCAAGTCGAGTTCCAAGTCTCTTTACATTTGGTCAAGTCAAGTCTAAAGTCATCAAATTGATGACTCGAGTCTGACTCAAGTCCAAGTCATGAGACTCGAGTCCACACCTCTGCAATATAATATACTATATACTATGACTGTATAACCCAGCGATCATGAACTGGCAGGCCGCGACCAAATCCAGTCCACCCCACCGTCCAATCCAATTACAAAATAAATATTAAATAATGAAAAAATATATTTTTATTTCATTTATTTGATGGTCAAGCCCTCCTCCCTCCCCCCCCCCAAGAGTTCGGAGTTTTTTTTAACTGATAGCACCTTTGGAAAAATTATCTGCCAGTCCTGTCCAGACAAACTGTGGTCTATTTTACTTTTATATATTCCATATTTTCCGGAGTATAACTCGCACTTTTTTTCATCCCTTCAGCTAGGTTTGCGACTTGTACTCAGGTGGGACTTATATATTAAAATATGTAATTTCACATTTTCTCACTGACAGCCGCTAGAGGGCACGCTAAGCTGGTGTACCAGCACAGTATCTGCTACTCCTGTATCACTGAAAATGTACACTTGTTATTTTCACATTGACAGCCACTAGAGGGCACTCTAGGATTGTGTTACAGTATCTGCTTCTCCTGTACCACTGAAAATGTACATGTTCATTATTTTTACACTGCCAGCCGCTAGAGGGCACTCTAGGCTTGAGTACCAGTATCTGCTTCTCCTATACCACTGAAAGTGTTAGTTTGTTATTTTCAAACTGACAGCCGCTAGAGGGCACTCTAAGCTAGTCCTGGATCACTGATAATTTACATGTTCCTTATTTTCACACTGACAACAGGCCAGAGTGCACTCTTGGCTTGTGTGCTTCTCCTGTAAGTTGCACGTTTTTTCATTCTTTGGCTGGTGCGACTTATACTTATACTTTAAAAAATACTGTTTCTGTTTTACATAGTTTTTTTGTTTTTTTTGCTTGTAGTTGTTTGTTTTTTTATCTTATCATTCTTCCCAAATTAACAAATAACCATTAAATCAAGAGTAACGAGACTTTGTTGTGTGTCACACATCTGCAGGTAAATTCACCTGTATTGAAGTAAAATTCCACCTGGAACGTCAGATGGGTTATTACTTGATCCAGATGTACATCCCCTCCCTTCTCATTGTCATCCTCTCCTGGGTCTCCTTCTGGATCAACATGGATGCCGCTCCTGCCAGAGTGGGCCTGGGGATCACCACGGTGCTGACCATGACCACGCAGAGTTCTGGATCCAGAGCCTCACTGCCAAAGGTCAGTTTGAAAAGTCCTGCTAATGATACCAGGAGCAGACCGGGGGAGGGAAATGTAAGATGTATGTTTTTGGAGTATTATTATGACATATGAGTTGACTTAGGATGAACTGTTCAGAGCAGAGGAGACTATGGTAGAGAGGTGAAGAATAGAGTACAGGCAGGATGGAACAGCTGGAGAAAAGTGTCAGGAGTCATCTGTGACAGAAGAGTGTCAGCTAAGGTGAAGAGAAAGGTTTACAGGACGGTGGTGAGACCAGCCATTATGAGTGGTTTAGAGACGGTAGCAATAGGCAGAAGACAGGAGACGGAGAGGGAGATGGCAGAGTTAAAGATGCTAAGATTCTCTTTAGGAGTGACAAGAATGGACAGGATCAGGAATGGTCATTAGAGGGACAACACA